GTGTGTGTGTGTGTGTGTGTGTGTGTGTGTGTGTACGTTTACTATGCAAGTAGAGCACAGATAATGAAAAGAAACTTGACATCTAATGTACAACACTAAAAAAATGACGTGCAGCTAGTTTTTGTTGTTGTTTTATCTTTTATATTGTTATTCACATTATTAACACACATCACTTTCCAACACAGGTACAATATATGTAACAAATACCCGGATAAATGCTTTTAGCAGTTATATCAAGCCTTCTCAGCTTGATAAAACCCCAACACATTCAGCAAATATGATTAAAAACTGGCCAGGGGAGGTTTAATCTGCAGTTGGTGCCACTAGTTCAAAACCACAGAGCAAGAAAAGAGAACTTTCAGCTTGTCTGTGTTCGAGGCAACACAAGCATGTAAAAAAAAGAAAGAAAGAAGAATGCCACTTACAAGAAGCCAACAGGTTGTAACAGAAATATGTAGTTGCACTGGAATAATAACCTATTGCTGGAACTCAGGAAGTGTGCGTGATTTCCAGGCAGGTTTTTTTGTTTTTACACAACCTTTAGCAAGCCTTTTATGTTTTTAATCTAAAGGGTCACTTGTTTTTCTCTACTAGTTTTGATATTGTGATGTACTACCGGGATAAACACTCTTCCCAGCGACTTATCAGGACCAGCAGGAGCTGCAAACTTAGACAATCTTACTCTGAACGTAGCTTGAACTCGGGTGGAAACAGTCGTAAAGTGAAAGCTCCTGAACGAGTGCGAACAACTCAAACGTCTTCACAGTATTTAAGCTGCTGCTCATCTTTTTCCGCTCATGGTCAAGGACACATTTAATATCAGGGCTCTCTTCTAACAGCTGGACAGATACAAGCTGCTTGAAAACTGCAACAGAATAAACTCASCTCTTCTGGTACATTTTGGTTTCCCAGGAAAAGTCCAAATCCTGACAGCCAAGAGGAAAGTTCTGTTAACTCTTCTGTCACATAGTAAATGATGTGTTACTAGTTTACTGGTGAGACTTGAGATGCTCTCTAGTTGACTAATAAACATGTAAAGTCTCACCAATTTGCTAGCAAAGACAGGTTCACCTTGTCTTTGATGCAAAGATTTATTTAACTAGTAAGGAAATACATAGGGCTCCATCGATTGAAGTTTTTCTGGCCAATCCCCGACGACCCAACTTTGTCTGACCTGCTGATTTCATTTTTATAGCTGACAAACTTTTAGGGTGTATTCAGACCAGGAAAGTCCTTTGGTCCAATTGTTTGGTCCGGACCAAAAATGGACTTTTTTTTTCGTTTGGTGTGGTTAGCATTCACATTGTGCTTTTTTGCAAATGAACTATAAGTTGTAAACAAAGCCATGAGGCTGACGATCATTGCTCCCATTGGACAAAAAAGGATGGGGGCGGGACTGAGCCACAGATCCAGAAGAAAACAAGGAAGTCCTGCATGCTGTGGTTCTGATGCGCACATTTTTGCTGATTGTACAACTGCAATAGCATTTAAAATGTCAGAAGCAGCTAATTTAATGGTGGTTCCGTGATGATATTCTAATTTTGGAGCGGCGTCAGTAAATGTGTCCCGCGACCCAAAGGAGACGAGGTGCTCTGCGTGCTCTGACCCACAACATGCTGTAGTAGAGCTGCTAACAGGAGACGATGAAACAGGTATGTTTTCAGTTTTAGCTCAGCAACGGTGGCCTGTGAAGTCCAAAAAGGTGCATGTTTAATGCAGTTGGTTCGGTTAGAGTCCGGTCTGTATTCACACCAGAAGAGAACTAAAGTGAACCACACCAGAGTTTGTTTGGAAGCGGACCAAGACCACCTCAAAAAGCAGGTCTCGGTCCGGTTGTTTGATCCACACCAGAGTTCGCATGAGTGTATTCACACCTGCACAAAAGGTCCGGACCAACGCTGGAAACRAACTCTGGTTCGTTTAAAGCGGAGCAAATTGTCAGGTCTGAATACGACCTAAGCTTTAATAGTTCACAACAAAAGTCCTAAAAGGCCCTAATCAACTACTGGGCAATCTGGGTTTTAATAGTTACTGTACCTTGTCCAACCAAAACTAGATGCATTTACCAACTAAAATCCACTATGGACCTTATCAGTTAACTAGCACAAACTTTCAGACACACAAATTAGAAACTACTGTGTCTAAAATTTTAACTATTACTACATGCATCATTCATTCAAACACATACATGATAGTGAGCTGCACGGCTGCCCAGAGGCAGACTGATCAGTGGCAGATCTAGGATTTTTCAGTGTAAGAGGCCATCGGGGGGCCACAATATTCATAGAGGGGCCAAGTATTTGTTCAACATGCTTGCACACAAATCCCCAGTTTTTGTAAGATTTATACATTTAATCAGTCACACGTGTTCAAACACTTGTAAAAGCTTGCAGAGTAAATTTTCCTTAACAACTTTACATGATTTTTAACTGCATATAAATAAAATACTCTCAAACACACAGCATGTAAGAAAATCCAGTCATTGTTGTCAGTTTAATTTTTTTTTCTGCAGAATTGTTCAAATTGAAAAAGACCTGTAAGGTTGATTCATGTTGGACTTTCATATTTGACTCATTGGTGCCACTAGTGGTTGGAAGTGGAACTGCAGCCACCATCATTGTTCTTGGGCAAGGACAGATGAGTGAAAGGACAGGGGGCACGTCAGGAGGTCAATCAGATTTCAGATGGGGCCAATGCCCCCTGTGGCCCCGCCCMTAGAACCACCACCTGAGACTGACACAGGTGGAGCTGCCATACTGCACCACCGGACCGTCTGACCACCATCACTAGGCMAGGCAGTTGAAGCGTCTTGTCCAAAGACAACGACAGAGACAGCTGGAACSGGGGATTGAACTGGCAACCCATCAGTTCCAGGACTACTCCCCTAACCACTMTGCCACAGCCACTACAAGTAGTACAGATTTTAGGCACACTAGTTAGCTTTGCTTGAGAAAAACATTTTAAACTAGTCAACCAGTGTCCATTTGGAGATTGACTAGTTATAAGAAAACAATTAATCGTAATAAGTAGTTTATATTTTGGGCCTTACCAGTTAACTAGTAGCCACAGCACAGCAAATAATCTTTACCTTTGTTAGGTAACACGTTAAAAGCTTTAAACAGCTAGTGAACATTTTWCTAGTTAACTTTAAAAAGGAAAACCAGTCAATGTAAGGATTTATTGGACCTTGTAAACCTTCTTTGGGAACTAGTTAAAACAGTCTTCAGCTAACATGACATCACTGACGGAGGGAACATCAAATACTGCAATCTGAGATGTAAATAATGTTTGATTGTGTTGTATCAGAGCATGATGTGGAACTAGACAATCCCTCAGAACAACAACCTAATCACAGTAAAAACAAACTGATTGCACAGTGGTTATAAAAATATTCTGAACTTCTCAAGAATAAATATGTAGCCCGTATGAAATGCATTCAAGCCTCAATAGAAATGAATAGTAATGGAGGTATTTTGTGTTGTTTGGGGGTTTTGATGCTCACTAGTCAATAAGTATTACCCAGTTGTTTACCCACTAATGATGTGGTGTCCAAACGTTTTACTTTTCGACCTACAAAATTGTAAAACCCCACAACCACAACACCCACTGCTTTATAAACAAATACCTAAATAACTAATAAACATAGAACATAATGACATGGCAAAATGTCTCAGGTACTCTAGAACAGTGTTTCCCAAAGTTGGGGTTGGGACCCAAAATGGGATCCCGAAACATCAGGATGGGGTCCTGAAAAGATTT